AAGGAAATAGTAAACGTACCAGAGCTTATTCTAATAGCCAGATTAAATAAATTATTTAATAAGTAGTCTCTAACCATCTCTTGAAATAATAGCATATGTTAGAAAGAAAGTACTCTGCGTGTTCCGCTACTATTAATGCTTATAATCTGAACGCTAGCCATTAATGGTTTTAGGCTAACAGAAAGAGAACTAAGATTTTGACATAAGATATAATTAGTAAGCATGAATCGCTATTTTGAGCCGCTTATACTAATACCAAAAATTCGAACACATTTTTCGCATACTAAATAATCACAAGATAACACATACTCTGGTTTTCAACAGAGGCAATAGAGGCAGGAAATATTAGATTTTAAACTAGAAAAATGTCTGTGTTTGTTACTGATATTTACGATATAAAGATAAGACGATTAAATAGATCCTTTTTGAAGCTCTTTTGTAAGAACAGCAATATATCTTTAAACCTAATCACACTAATATTTCGTAAACGAATCAGATTTACCTACCTTCAGAAATGTATTAAAGTAGTAGTTTTGATAAAGCTAATAAAATAGCTAATTAATGTTAAAGACTAAGCCATTAATTAGCACTTATCTAAACCTAAGGCGAGTAGACCTAGCTTACAATATATTCTAAGTGGAAAAGCGTTTATAAGTAACGTAAAGCTAATGTAAGAAGCAAGTTGGTCGTAAGAGATCTTGTAGATTATGTTAAGGACTAGAAATGTGTAAAGATAGTAGGAAAGGTCTCTACTTATCTTATTTCTAATGCGGCTAGTAGTTATAAAGTTAAGGGTTATATTAATAGTTGTGGTAAGATGCTATACTAATGCTATAAAAAATTCCTTTAGGTGTAATACTAAGAATGCAGCTATATGTTTCTGATATAGATTAGACATCTCTGAAATGTTCGCTCGCATTATATCTTTTAGCTTATAGTAACGTATAAGAAGTGATAAGTAGTCACCTCCTAACTGTATGACCTATACTCCAGAGAAGACCTTAGCTAAACCATCTTCACATTACTTATAAAGTTTATGTCAGAATTCCTCTAGGCAGAGATCGCTAAATGATTTATTAAGCGTTTTTTCAGACATAATAAGAATGAGTTAAGGATAAAGCGCTTTAGGGTGGCTAAATGTACTGCCTATGTAAACCTAATAGATAATCTGTTCTGCTATTTGATCTAGGCTAGAGAAGTCGTTTACGAATACGCAAATAACATTACTAAAGAGAAATAATAATTAGGCCTTTATAACCTCTCTAGTAATATACTCGGTTATAAGAGCCTATAATAACGGATAAGTAATAATACTATAACAGAGATTCTAATCTTTATGTGTAAAGGCTACTGCAAACAAGTTACTATCGCAGAATAGTAAAGATTAATCAGAACTAATTGTGATTATATTAAGACAGAGATTTATAAAGCTATTTATTGAAGCACCTTATCAAATATTGTTTTGAGGGAAAAGATATTTTAAAGCTAGATTTTTGCTTTTTTTGCTAATGAAGTAGACTAGACTTAGGTACTGCTTATCTAATCTGGGCAACTTATTAATTACTCTTCTAAAACGGCCAGTATTATAGATATCTTTCTTGCCTTCAACTTCGACAAGAGTTATATAGTTGCAGTACGATATAGTTATAATAAGATAAATAGGCTCTGTAAGGAGAGTTATACTATTATAGGGTTCAGGAAGCAGGTATCAGCTATTAATAAAAGCCGCAGAAAATAAAAGGTAAGGTTGCCTCCAGTTTTAAGTTACTACTGTGTCACGTTAGAATAGAGTCTCCTTTATCTGCTTGTTACTCATCCCGCACTATATCATTGCCAGAAAATAAGCAATGATTATTTGAGCAGAAGCGGGCTTATTTCAAAGGATCTACGAAGGTCCCCATACGTCTTTTATAGTCGGACGCACCGTCATCTTTCACTATTGACACAAAAAATGTCACCTGCCTCAAGAAAATTTTCGAGTTGGAAGGTTGTCAGTGACTCAATCCTGATCATTATATACCCGCCACAATCAGGGATGAATCGCTACAGCTTGCTTTACAAGATGCTGGCATAGAGCACTACATATTACTAGACAGCGCTGACCCTCTATTAATAGAACCTGAAGATCTCAAGGTTTTGCATGGCCGTCACAGGCTAAAGGCCGCACAGATTTTCTTATATCTAAATAAGTAATAATAGATAGTAGATTTGTACAATAATAATAAGTCAGTATAATAAGTTTCGTTTTATAAATAATTATTTTAAAAGATATTCTATGAGAAATCTTCTTTATAATCTAAGAAGAATATTCTAATTCTTGTCAATTCTGTGACAGTGATATTTACTGCTCTTTATAATATTATTAACTCAACTGTAATATTAACAAGGCTAGTAAGTAGCAAGCAAGACTCTTAGCTAGCAAGCGCAAAAACGTGCGATAATTACATAAATAATATCTATACCTGACTAAAGCTTTTAACTTACTGCTTCCTATAATAGGACTATAGGCAGCAGTAAAAATAGGCACGCTTTACCAGATTCTAACTCTTAAGTGTCCTGAAGTAATGTACAATATGCTTCTATTAAACTATTGTTACGCTTACATTTATTAGGAAATAGTCTATTACCTGTACTATATAAGACAAATTTAGCGCTAAATTCTGTTAAATAAGCACCTTGCTTTTGTTGACCCTGCTACTATAACCTTTCTAAAAACGCTTGTGCCTAAGTTTTTCACACAAGATAATGTAGCTATATAAAGAGTAATACATAATAGAGTAATCTTCCCTTAAATTAGCTAAGAAATCATGCGAGGTCAGATTCTTAACTATATTCTAGAAATTTTAGAGCGAATTCTGTTACTGTTTACCTTTTTTAAGGATACAAAGTATTTAGAGCCTTGCGCAAAAGCGTTGAAATTCCTCCTCCCTCTTATATAGCTGCGGAGTATTAGCTTGCTTAAAGATACTTTCTTACGTTATTTCTTTATAAGATAATTACCTAATATACTTATTCAGAAATCAGAATAAGTGTATGCTTTATTATATATAAATAGTCCCTAAATTAGCGGATAGCTTGCCTATAGATAGCTATAGCTTTTTATTATACGTTACTTCCTAGACTTGACAGATACTATCTTACATAAGGACCTAAGAAAACTAAAACCTACTTAAGAAGGAAAACAATTATCTTGTATACATTTCTAATTAGCAGATCTAGCATATCGGCTTAGGTATAATAGTAAGCAGATTCATATACTGCGCAATAAGGATCCGGATCAGAGTATAACAAGAACTTTTCTCTCGCAAATTCGGCCAACTAAAATATATAATTTCAGTAAAGAGGATCGTACCAGGCTAGTTAAGTATATCTGTAAAGAGATTCAGAGAAGATCCTCAGTGATTCGTATTGAAATCACCCCAGCATACACGACAGACGAGGAAGGCCAGCCAAAGTTACATCATTGTGGGAGGCCGTTTGAACAGAATCACCGCAGCGATCAGCCCTTCTTGTTTCTAGGAAACATATACGGTCAGATCAAGATGCAAAGAAGAGAGCATTTGACTTCTTTCGCATTTAACAGAGATATCTTTATGGCCTTCTTCGGCGATAATGAAGATGATGATATATTCCCGGAGAGCAGTGAACCGCCCGAAGACGCACCTGCTTCACCCGCAAAACCAAGTTCACATATTGCATCTCCTTCCGCTGCCGGATCCTCGTCCGTCATCGTACGGCCCAGATCAGAGAACCAAGATCGGAGAGACTCTGTATTCATGGCCTCGGGCTTTAATTCAATACATGCAACAAGGAATGCATGTGAAATCCCTACATCAAGCAAAGCCTCCAACATAATTCAAGACCATCTCAAAGCCATAAATTCAACATCTCAAGATCATATTATCCTTTATTGCTGGAGACAACGAGAATATATTGTATATGACTCGGAATCAGAATTTTCATTTTACAGCAAGGTAAAAGATCTAACGAATAAACACTTCTGGTTTGCCGTTATTAAGACACCCGAAAAAATTAAATATGTGTCCATGAAGAATGCGTGGCAAGAAGCTCAGAAATACAAAGTGGTTTTCGCAGGCCTCAAGGGGAAAGGTGGTGATTACAACAATCTCCCATTCACAGGTGACGATCTTGATCACTTTTTGAATTACATAGACCACTTGTAGAACAATCAAAGTTATCATGCTTCCAACTCCGAAGCAGGAAGATGTTGAAAATAATGTACTCGTTTACACATTAAATTGAGAATTCTCCGTCGGGCGGCAAGACCGCGCAGGGGATCCACTGTATGAATCTGCATAGGATTGTGACATCATCAACAAGACCGCAGGGGCGGCAAGACCGTAGGGGCGGCAAGACCGTAGGGGCGGCAAGAATGCGGTCCTCGCTTTCTGGTGGGGCCCGGTTTAATCAAGGCTTGTTGAAAGTAACGCTAAAACTGCTTCTGCTATCTATGGATGTCTGCACTCGATCAATTGGTGGATGTAGTAACTTGTCCAGGAGTTATATCCAACTCCTGTCCGAAGTTCAAATGCAATCTTACTCTGGTGGCTGGTGGCGCTATGCCTGTTCCGGCATAGCCCTAGGTCATGTGACGACTACTGGGCTAGCGGCTTGGCAGCAATTCAACAAGGCTCACTTTTCCGTGGTCCATTACGTGCACGGTTAACCCTCGAACTCGACCGCTAACGCCAAGACCGCGCTTACGCCCTACCTCCGGTAATGCGTCTTTGGTTTGGCGTTATGCCGCACTATGCCTAGCGCCCTGTGGCTGGCCCGTTAGACAGGAGCATAGCCTCGCAGCGTACGGTTGAAGTGCCTGCACATAAGATAGCGTTTAATTCAGCCTGCGAATCTGCCTCGTAAGGCTGGCCTTCAGCCTCCTGAGACTCCTGAATGAAAGACTCCTGGACTGATCTTCACCTTCCAGCACAAGCCTGCCGCAGCCTCCGCTGACATGACCTGAAGGCTTTTCTGTCATCATGGCTGGCGCACCTCAGAAACCGCTGGCCCATGCTGACTATACCGTCGCGTGCATCTGCCCCATGGGAGTAGAGCTGGCTCCGGTTGAAGGCATGCTCGACGAAATCCACGACCCTCTTCCCACCAATCGCGATCAAAATGCGTACACGCTGGGAAAGATTGGCGGGCACAACGTGGTGGTGGCGGTCTTGCCCGAGATCGGAAACCGCGCGGCGGCCACGGTAGCGACGCAGTTGCTTAATGACTTTCCTGCGATACGATTTGGTCTGTTGGTGGGCATTGGTGGAGGAGTACCTGGAGACGAGGGTGAAGATGACGTACGGCTTGGCGACGTGGTGGTGAGCCAGCCGACAGCCACCTTTGGGGGGGTGGTGCAGTACGATCTAGGGAAGATACTCGCTGATGGGAGTTTTGAGAGGACCGGACAGCTGAACAAGCCGCCATCGGTGCTGGGTGCTAATGTGCGGAAGCTACAGGCCCAGCATTTGCGAGTTGGAAGTCAGATATTGAGGTATCTGTCGGAGATGATCCAAAGGTACCCGAGGATGCAGAGTCAATACTCTTTTCCGGCTACCGACCTCGATCAGCTGTTTCTTGCATCCTACGCGCATCGACCTGGTGTGACCTGTGTCAAGTGCGATCGACAACAAACGGTATCTCGCCTCGCTCGATCAGATAGTGAACCGCGAGTACATTACGGTACGATCGGGTCAGCAAACCTTGTCGTTAAGGATCCAGTAGTGCGAGATGAGCTAAAGAGAGATATGAAAATCTTGTGCGTAGAGATGGAAGCGGCCGGGCTGATGGACGACTTTCCGTGTCTCGTTATCCGAGGCATTTGTGACTACGCCGATTCACATAAGAACAAGAGGTGGCAGCCATACGCGGCGGCGGTGGCATCGGCATACATGAAGGAGCTGTTGATGGCCATTCCTGCTCCTCAAGTGGCGCAGACACGAAATGCTGTCGAAAGTACAGCGTCACGTGAGTTCTCTTCATCGAACATGAGACATAGAGATTACGAGTGATTAGCGTGGGTCAACTGTTAGAAAGAGCTGGCTACGTGTGCACGATCGCTGCAAAAAGACTGACGTCTATCTAGCATTTCAGTTAGGTCTACATCTTGGCGAAGCCCCTATAATCGATCCGAACCTCTTTGTTGGGCGCCTTTCCGAGTTGGAGAAGATGGACGAGATTCTCCAAGACGCTCGATCTCAAGAACAAGGTCGGTTGATCCTGGGTGGTATGGGCGGCATCGGCAAGACGCAGCTGGCCATTGCCTATGCCCGGCTCCGCCGCGGCTCGTACGAATCAATCTTCTGGTTGAATGCCGCATCAGAAGCCGCTCTCAAAAGGAGTATGCGGTCGATGGCAGAACGGGTCTTAGAGGTGGCGGAATATGAGAAACTCGAAGATGAGCAGACCATCCTCCGTGTTCGCCGATGGTTATCGGAGACGATCAATACCCGATGGCTGTTGATCTTCGACAATTATGATGACCCAGATCTTTTTGATATCAGAAAATACTATCCCTACGCTGCTCACGGGTCAATCATCACCACGACACGTCTACCAGATCAGATCAGCGGAAAGCGGGTTCATGTTCGACCCCTCGAGCATATCAGTGAAAGCTTGCAGGTTTTGGAGACGAGATCTGAGCGACCAAATGTCAAAGACAGTAAGACAATATAGATGATCTACTTTATATACGCTAATCTTCATTAACAGGTGTTCCTGCCCGTCGTCTTGCCGAGAGACTTGAGGGTCTTCCATTGGCTTTAGCCACTGCAGGAGCATATCTCCAGAAAAGCACCCTGAGCTTTGAGCAATATCTTCAAGAGTACGAGAAGCGATGGAACCTGAGTCCGCGGAGGCCACTACAGCTTCAGGAGTATCGAAATCGCACGCTGTACACGACTTGGGATCTGTCATATATCTGTTTGAAGAATGATGATCCTAATGCGGCAAAGCTGCTAAGGCTGCTGGCTTACTTCGATCACCAGAACCTTTGGTATGAGCTGTTCCAAGCTGGACTTAACAATAGTCTGCCGAGTTGGCTTCTGGATATAACTAGCAATCTGATTGACTTTGAGGAAATTATGAGAGTACTGGTGGAGTACTGCTTTGTGGAGACTCAATGGACAACCAAGTCGTACAGCATGCACGCCTGTGTGCACGACTGGACATTAGCAAGTCTGAACAAGATGGTTGACTCTGAGAGCTACTGGTATGCATTTGACTGTGTTGCGCATTCAATCGATGGGGAGTGGGAACTCCTCGGACACCTCCGGCACGCTCGGCTGGCTGCTCATGCAGCGAGGCTAGGACACGATCACTTTGTACAAGCTGGTCTACTTGATATCATTGCAGACGGCCGAGCTGAGAAAGTTGAGGATATTGCACAACTGCTCCAGAAGCAATTTCGGCTCGAGGCGGCAGCAGTAATGCATCAGCGAGCACTAGCAGGGTATGAGAAAGCACTTGGACCCGATCACACCTCGACTCTCGACACAGTCAATAATCTCGGCATTCTGTATCGTGATCAAGGCAAGCTGGACGAGGCGGAGGAGATGTACATGCGAGCACTAGCAGGGAAGGAGAAAGCACTTGGACCCAATCACACCTCGACTCTTGGCACGGTCCACAATCTCGGCCTTCTGTATCGTAATCAAGGCAAGCTGGACGAGGTGGAAGAGATGTACATGCGAGCACTAGCAGGGAAGGAGAAAGCACTTGGACCCAATCACACCTCGACTCTTGGCACGGTCCACAATCTCGGCCTTCTGTATCGTAATCAAGGCAAGCTGGACGAGGTGGAAGAGATGTACATGCGAGCACTAGCAGGGAAGGAGAAAGCACTTGGACCCAATCACACCTCGACTCTTGACACGGTCCACAATCTCGGCCTTCTGTATAATAATCAAGGCAAGCTGGATGAGGCAGAGGAGATGTACATGCGAGCACTGGCAGGGAAGGAGAAAGCACTTGGACCCAACCACACCTCGACTCTTGGCACGGTCAACAATCTCGGCCTTCTGTATCGTAATCAAGGCAAGCTGGACGAGGCGGAAGAGATGTACATGCGAGCACTGGCAGGGAAGGAGAAAGCACTTGGACCCAACCACATCTCGACTCTCAACACGGTCAACAATCTCGGCCTTCTGTATTATGATCAAGGCAAGCTGGACGAGGCGGAAGAGATGTACATGCGAGCACTAGCAGGGAAGGAGAAAGCACTTGGACCCAATCACACCTCGACTCTTGGCACGGTCCACAATCTCGGCCTTCTGTATCGTAATCAAGGCAAGCTGGACGAGGTGGAAGAGATGTACATGCGAGCACTAGCAGGGAAGGAGAAAGCACTTGGACCCAATCACACCTCGACTCTTGACACGGTCCATAATCTCGGCCTTCTGTATAATGATCAAGGCAAGCTGGACGAGGCAGAGAAGATGTTTGAGCTAGCTAAAAAAAGCTAAACAAATACTTATAATAAGACCCAATCACACCTCGACTCTTGGCACGGTCCACAATCTCGGCCTTCTGTATCGTAATCAAGGCAAGCTGGACGAGGCGGAGGAGATGTACATGCGAGCACTGGCAGGGAAGGAGAAAGCACTTGGACCTGATCACACCTCGACTCTTGACACGGTCCACAATCTCGGCCTTCTGTATAATAATCAAGGCAAGCTGGATGAGGCAGAGGAGATGTACATGCGAGCACTGGCAGGGAAGGAGAAAGCACTTGGACCTGATCACACCTCGACTCTTGACACGGTCCATAATCTCGGCCTTCTGTATAATGATCAAGGCAAGCTGGACGAGGCAGAGAAGATGTTTGAGCTAGCTAAAAAAAGCTAAACAAATACTTATAATAATCTATATTTTAACTTAATATATTTATTAACTATTTATTTCTTCATTTTTCATATTTTTCTGATGCGCCAAGATCATTATATGACATTGTGTTTAAATCACTAAAAAGAGTGGCCTGTGATGGATGGAGTATCTCCTCTGCCATGGCGCAGGAAAGACACGGGACCAGCCACGCACTCGGATAGCAGCGCCGATGGCGTATCCACAACGGCACGCGGAACTCTTGGGGATCCACTATTCTTACAACAGCCATTCCCTAATCTTACAACTGTTGTAAGATTTAGCAAAACCTTATTCTTACAACAGCCTAATTAGGTCATAGGGCTTCTCAAATAGGCAATTGAGGTTGTTGTAAGAATAAGCCGCACACTATTCTTACAACAGTTGTAAAATATTGGAAATCCTTATTCTTACAACAACCGAAATAGGCGATTCAATCTACCGCACTATATACTTGATGCTAATTCTTTAGTATGGGGCCTACACCAAAACTACGCCTACAGAAGTACAGGCCCCGGGTTTTGTTATCACCCACTACAACTCTGCGAGGAACACAGATATTCAAGTGCTGAGGGACTCGCCGAGGAAGGAGCAGGTGCAAATAGCACAGATATAGCAAATTTGCGCCCTGATTGACTGTATGCTATCTTTCTCCTTCTTCTCATCCATTTCTATATCTCTGTGGCCGTAGCCTCTCTCTGCACGGCCGTTTCTTCGCTGGTGAGGTCATTGGCGATACTGTGGTCTGTAGAAAGGGGGGAGGAGGCAGAGAAGGAGGAGGAGGCAGCGAAGAAGGTTGAAAATAGCCATTTAGAACAGACGACGGAGAGGGCAAAGACGGAGACGTTTCGAATAGAGGAAGATCGAGTGGGGCAAATGGAGAGGGCGTTCGGAGCTCTGGTAAAGGTGAATATAGAAGAGGCGGCGTTACTGTTCTTGTTAATGCAGAAGGAGGCGGCAGTACTGTTCTTGTTAATGTAGAAGGAGGGGGTATAGCCTTTGTCTGCAGAGGTATATACTTTATCCATCCTTGAATTTGAAGACCAGGCTGAGGCTGGGTAGTCTTTTGACGTTGCTGACGATAGAGCTCAGCGCCTAGAGGGTCTTCTTCACTGTTATAGTGCTCCTCTTCTACCTCTATATCGATGTCGTCAATCGAAATAGGCTGCTGAGCTGTGCCTGCACGTGAACTCTCTCCTTGTTCTTCTTGAGTATGCGTTCTGCCTGAGAATAGAGTGCTTTTCGCCTGCTTTCTGCCTTTTCGAGAACCTGTTGTAGATAGAGAGTCAACCTGGCCCTGAATAACTTCGAATAGCGATAGTTGACGCTTTTGAGACTTTGTATACCGAGTTCTGACGCTCAGTGGATCGACAATCTTACGAATAGGAGCGAGCTTAGCTACTTCTTGAAAGCGGTCAACCCTCCATTGAGCGTCGAAATCAGCTATCTCAAGAGCAAGATGATCTTGAATTCGTTGCTGCAGAATGTGGGCACAGGGTAGGCCTTTTGTTGTCGTAAACACTTGTTTACAGGCTATCAGCGGCAAATGAGCGTTTCGGAGGGTCAAGTTATGAAATCGACGATGCTCTTCAATCTGATCAATAGCGTAGTAGCTGATATAACCGTGGAGTTTGTGATACAGAGGATTCTGTAGATCAGTCCTCTCATTTTGCTGGTCGTATTCGAGTTCTTGTCGAAGCTGTCGGTTATGAATATCAAGATACCTTGTGAGATGGTCTACCACGTCATTGAGATGAGCTTGTTTAGATATCATTTGCTGTTTAACAGCTTGATGTACGCTCTCTGCTCTTGAGCTGTTGACGTGACTGTAGTGTCTAATCTTGTCAGTCCATGCTTGAATAAAGGTCTCTTTAAAAGACAGCCAAACGCGAGTTAAATAGCTAAGAATTTTCCGCTGCGAATATCAATAACGCTGTAGAATTGTCTGCCATATTCGATTATAGGTCTCTTCTGTTTGTGCATAGAGCAGCTGTGACCAGAAGCCGTTGAACTCCTTAAGTCGCTCATCAATAACAGCTCTTCTGGCCTCATTAGAAAGGTGATCCGTCCTCTCCAACCAATGCTTCTGACAGTATGCCTTCACGTCTTTGTCGATATGCCAACGACAGAGAAGATGAGGCACCTCAGGCCAAACAGCGGCGCAGGCATTATGAAGGCCTCCCGCTTTATCTGTTGTAATAGACTCAGGAGTAGGCAGGCTGTATTCTTCATAGAGATCTCGTATCCAGCTTAAGACCCAGATATAGTCCTCCTCTTCTTCATGGGTCAAAAAAGCCTGGCCAATCACAAACGACCTATTTGTCGCTGTGAATCCGATAATATCAAGCAGGGGGAGATTGAATCGGTTCGTTCTATATGTAGAATCGAGGACGTAGCTTCTGGGAAAGAGGCGTAGAAGCTGTAGAGACTCGTTATGAAAGAACAGTACTCTCTCTAATCTATCATGGTCATCAAGAGCGTAATGGAACTGGTATTCGTCTCCAAGCTTCAACATCATGGCCTGAATCGCTGGTAGACCACGATTCATAGTCTTCTTGACGTTGCTATAGACATTCTTAACGTCTCGGAGAGTCATAGGGGCCTCAGGAAACTGCGCCTGTAATGAGGATAGGGTATCCCGGGCGGATATCTGCGACATTCGGTTGTTCTCGATCTGTTTAAGCAGCTCTGGCTTGCTTTTTCGAGCGTTTCTGCGGTGAATTGGATGGGCAGTAGAGAAGAAGGATGGGCCATGGTTATAGGTATCATGAGGCGCTTCTGAGTGCTGGATTGTCTATAGTCCGTCGGGTTCCTTTCTAGACTGGCCAATTAAACAGCGAAAAAGGCAGTCTCGTCGTCTTGAAGAGCTCTTTCGAAGGCGTTTATCGTTGGCCTTTGATGTAGGGTTATTTCTGCCTCCGCGATCGCATTCTAGATAGATAAAGAAAGGATGCGCGTCGTCTTTCTGACGTTTCCTTGACGAGCGAATTCTCAACGCATAGCCATGCTCTCGAGCCCAGTCTTGGACAGCTTGTAGAGCTGCATTTTGCGATTCAAAAGATTCAATCGGAGGAGGTAGAATGTCGGAATTAGGCGCAGGAGAGTCGTCGTCGTTAAACCCATTCCACTCCTCCTCATTTTCATGATTTCCTTTAGGAGGAAATATCTTCCATGGGCGCTGATTTTGCAGCAGATACAACTCATCAACAGGGATTCGATCGCGCTCCGGAAAAGAGACGGAGGTAGCTGACTCTTCGCCCGTATCTAGCAAATTGTCGGCGTCGCAATCTAATTGGTCGTTGCTGAGATTCTCGTTGTTGAAGTTGTTGACAAAAGGATCGTCGTCAAATTCAACAGGGATTCGATCGCGCTCCGGAAAAGAGACGGAGGTAGCTGACTCTTCGCCCGTATCTAGCAAATTATCGGCGTCACAATCTAATTAGTCGTCACTAAGATTCTCATTATTAAAGTTGTTGACAAAAGGATCGTCGTCAAATTCAAAGGGATCCGTAAGAATTTCATGAACAGGTGATTCAGGTCTAGCAAGGATTGTGGCATACTGTTTCCTCCAAAAGGAGGAATAGTTGACTTCATGTGTTGGACCATATGTCAGATGGATTGCATCTACTAACAATTTGTTAGCAGATGTGAACTCTGATGGCCGATTTTGCACCGGATGTGACACAGTTTCGGGGTCCATCCTGCTGCGCAATGATTGTTGGTGTTTGA